AACAAAGCATTTGAAATTCGAGTCCAACTATAACTTATTTTCAAGTAATAGGAAATCTCTTGATTGACAAATTGCGGCTCAAAGGTTTTATGAACAAGTTCTAAGTTCTGATATAATCTGAAGCACATTAAAGCTTTTGTCTTTTGTGTGCTTCAAGCTTAAAGCTCCTTATATATTTTGTGTGCTAGTCTTTGTACGTTTGAAAGCTTTTGGATACTTAAGATGGCATCCTACACAACCTAACAATTGAAAGCTTTCAAATTTTGCCATATAGACTAAAAGCTTAACTGAGCTAGCTGAAAGCTTAAAGTTTCTTTCAGCTCTCGCTGACTAAAGCCAAAGATTAATGAACTCTTTGATTGAGCTTTAATTTCGATTTAAATCAAGCAAAAGCTCGTACAATCCATGACTCATCGCAGAGCTTTAAGCATAGGCTTAAAGCCACACAAAGCTCCGCAGCCAGCTGACAGATTTCACATACTTTGCGGAGAAGTTGGCTGGCAAGATCTTAGACTAAGCACTTCGAACAAGTCGTGAAACTTTTCATATAAATTACAACAATGCAATTTGGTTTAAGCCAGCCAGGTGGGCGTGGCAGGTTGGCTGAAGGGTGGAGGGGGGGGGAAGGTGGGAATGTGGTTTAGAGGCAGCTTAAGATACCATTCGAGCGTGCGTTAATATTTATTTAAAGCTCTCTAGCCCTAATGCCACACCCATACCCTAAAGCCCACCTCAAAGAGCACAATAGAGCGCGCACACACACACGTAAACACACACACACGCACACATAAAGGTGGCTGGGCGTGGCTGGGTCTTTTGTCGTTAATTTGAATGTAATTCGCTTGGAGAAATTTACATGATTTGCTTAACAATCAAAAAGTATTTCATTGTGTGGCAGGATCAGAGGGAGCACAGGGTAAGGGGAAGGGGAAAAGGGGGGGGGATGGGTTGAAGTGGATTTTGTGTGTGTGCTCGGATATTAGTAAAGCCCGGTCGAAGGAATTGAGTTGTTCAATGACACGCCAAATTCATGTGCTCGTGACTTCCACCAACAGAATATTGCCTAATCACTGCTCGGGGAGCAGAAGCTGCAGCTGGAGCTGGAGCTGGAGCTGCGGCAGCGGGCGTGGGAATTTTCACGAAGGACATGTACGTGTCCGGATCAGGACGCAAGGCACAAGGCACAAGGCAAGGCAAAAGTTTTTGGCCCCGTCCATTTGGTCAATTTGGGCCAAAAGAAAATTTGTAGGCTATAGAAAGTTTTTCACAACGTACAACGCAGGGACTTTCACATTTGTGGTGTGCGGGCGGAGTGTGCGGGGGAGGGGGGTAGCTTGTGAGAGATTTTAGTCTATCTCTTGTTTAGTTGCCAGCGGCTAGCTGCACGGCGGTGGGCGTGGCATGTGGCAAAGCTTTACCGTGTGCCCACAACAAATAAACAGCAACAATGGCAAGTGGCAGCGGTTAAGTTGACGGTACAACAGCAGCAGTTGGATGGGGGCGGTGGGAGGGGGGGGGGGGGCGTGGCATCTAACTCGATATAGCTGGCAAGATAAAGCGTTGAAAACTTCGAGCCAGCGGCTGTTGGGCAAGAGAGAAAAAAAAGAAAGCACAGAAGAAGCAAATAAAATACACTGCGAAAGCACAAAATGAAAACAAATTGTGCACTATGAAGCGCTCCCACCTAACACATTAGGGGTATGCCAGAAGAACGGCAGAAAAAAATGAACAAACAAGAAAATCTATTTACAAATGTTTCTTATCGATATACACGCCTTTCGATATTAAGCCAGCAAATTCTCTTAAGGTAATTTTAAAAGCTCTTTTAGGTGCTTTTGAAAGCTCATTGAAATCTGAAAAGCTTAGCTCAAATCGAAAAGCGCATTTTGGCTCGTTATCAGCCAACATTAAGCTAGATAAAGCGTACACAAAGCTGGATAAAGCTCGAGCAAAGGCCTTCTTATATAGTATACTATTTGGAGCTTCAAGTAACTAAAGCTCTTGCCCAGCTTACTTTTAGCTTGCTTTCGGCTAACTCAAAGCTCGCTTTCAGCTTACTCAATGCTCTTTTTTAGCTATAGTTAATCTCGCTTGCGGATAACTGAAAGCTCAAAGGCGCTTTCGGCTATCTCAAAGTTTTCTTGCAGCGAACGCAAAGCTCGATTTTAACTAACTTCAAACTTGCTTTTGGCTAACTTAAAGCTCGCTTTTATCCAACGTTAAGCTGCTTGCGGATAGGTTACTCAAATTCCCCTGCCACCAACTTACAGCTAGCTTTTAAATTTCCATTTAATTCTAACTAAAGGCTCGCTTTTGGTTCACTCGTAGCCTGCTTTCAGCTTACTTAAAGCTCGCTTTTAGCTATCGTAAAGCTCGCCTTTAGCTAGTTAGTTTCCAGTTGGAAGGCCGCTTTCAGCTTACTGAAACCTTTCTTGCGGTTAACTTACAGCTAGCTTTCAACTTACCCAAAGCTCGATTTAATTTAACTTAAAGCTCGATTTTAGCTACTTCAAAGTCCGCTTTCAGCATACCTTAAGCTCGATTTTAGCTACTTCTAAGCCCGTTTTCAGCATACTTAAATCTCGCATTTAGCTAGTTGGTTTCCAGTTGGAAGCCTGCTTTCAGCATACTTAAAGCTCGCTTGCGGCTAACTTAAAGCTAAATTGAAGCTTTCATAAAACTTGCTTTTAGCTAACTCAAGGCGTTCCCTAAGCTCGAGTAAAAGGCTTGTCTTAAAAACCCCAACAAAGAAAGCACACTTATAACTAACTAAAAGCTCCTTTGAAGCTCACTTAAAGCTCACTTAAAGCTCAAATTAGTTAATTTAATATATAGCTATAAGCAGTTCACAATTTTGCTGGCTAATTATGAAACTATGAAAAGAGCAATAGATGTCACTCGACCCACAGGAAGCTCTCGCCTTGGCAATCGACACGCTTTGCGAGCTTTTCGCTGCCAAGTAGCGAGTACCCCTAATGCGTTTGTATAGCCGTAGCCAAAATTGAAATATTAAGCCATACAAATCAGGCAACTTGCAGCAACAGCAGCAACAAAATGAGGAAGCAGCGAAAATCATTCGACACGCGCAGCATTTATCGGCGGAAACGGAAATAGAGCAAAGGGCTGCGTCAGGGACGATGATGCGGATGATAGCAGCACGCAAACAGTCACGTATACGGGAAAATGGGCGGAGACGGGTGCGGGAACGGGTGTAGGAGGAGACGCGCTTATTGACGTTGAGCAACGCTTATTGGCGTACTTAATCCTTTTGGCAAATTCCAATAAATTACCAGAACAGGACAGGCCAAGGCGAATGGCAAGAGAAACGGCCAGAGGCGCTGGCCGGATCGGGGCTAAAACAACAGCAATTGGGGAGGAGAAGTAAAAAAAAAAAAAAAAAAAATAAAAAAAGACAAACATCAATAGGCCATGATGAGTTTCTGATTGCCAAAGCAAAAGGCAGCGCAGGAGGGCCAACCCAAAGGTCGCCTCCAAACGGACTGTAGATGATGTTCCTAGGACGAAGGGGTTGGGTTGGAGGGGGTTGCTGGGGTCACGCTCTGAGAAGGATGACGGTCGTGTCACATGGCTTGGCTCGAGCTGCCTTTGGGGCAAGTCATAAAATTGAACAGACATTTTATGTGAGCCGGTTTCGGGGGGCTGCAAAGTTAAATTGAAAGCCCAAATCCTGGCCAGGCTCGCTTTGCGTACTTTTCTCTCTTATCTCTTTGACTGCTTACCCATAAAGCCAGACAAACCCCATCCCCCTCCCCCTCCTCCTAAACATCCCCCTCCCCCACTTCGCCCTGCTCACCTAGCGCTGTATTTTATTGTAAATGTTTTGCATATTTTTGATTGCCCGAAAAAAGAGCAGAGCAGCGAGTCGAGTTTGACCAACTGCTCAATACTCTATGCCGCCTGAATGTGAACTCTAAAACTGTAGCCGCCAAAGCGCAGTGACTTTCAAAGTGGGCGTGGTCTTAGCTGCCACAATTTGCGGACTACAGCCTCAAAGCTCTGGAAGATAAGCCTTGGAAGATTAGTACTGTCCAAGGTTTACCCCAGGTTTACCCTAGGTTTACCCCAGGCTTACCCTAGGTTTACCCCAGGTTTACCCCAGGATTACCCCAGGTTTACCCCAGGTTTACCCTAGGTTTACCCCAGGTTTACCCCAGATATACCCTAGGTTTACCCCAGATATACCCTATGTTTACCCTAGGTTTACCCTAGGTTTACCCTAGGTTTACCCCAGACTTACCCCAGGTTTACACTCAAGCATTCAGCATGGGCCGAATGGAACGTAAACCTTAAAGCTGGTAAAAAAAACCTTTTGAACAGAATCTTTTTTGAACACATTTTGTCAACCCTGAATCCTTTGAATATTGTCAAAATATTATGTCAATATCGGAAACTACAAAAACTGGAGACAAAACTCGATATTCGAATTATGTGTTTTCGATAAGACTACGTAGAACGAGCCTTGCATTTCATATCGATAAATATCGATTATCGATATTACTCGAGATATGCAAATTTGATATGTAGGTTCTCGTTTTATATAAAGACCACAAATATTCAATTTAACGTGGAGTTTTCTTTTGAATTTTCCTTGAACTGAAAAAAGTCGCATTCTCCAAGCTAGATCCTTGGATCCTTTTGTATGCCATAGAAATGACTTCAGAATGAATCCTTTGAATACTGTCAAAATATTATGTCAATATCAAAAACTACAAAAGCTGGAGACTTGATATTAGAACAAGCTTAGCATTTCTTTTAGACAGCGCCACATATAAACGATAAATATCGATTTCAGTTTAACGTAGATCGATAAATATCGATTTGAATTTTACGTGCAATTTTCTTACTTACCTCTTGAACTGAAAAAAGTATCATTCTCCAAGCTAGATCCTTGCCATGTAGAAGACCTGAAAATGCCATTAAGATCGGACTAAACTTTTTGTTTTCCATTTTCGATAAGGTAGAGTTAAAGGAAAAGGCAATTGTTTGAGTTTTTCTGTATGCATTTATGAAAGGAGTATAGGATTTGTAAATGTTGAAAGGAGAGTATCTGCTAGTCGTGCACTGCCCACAGAGTTAAATAATAAAAATAAAAGTTTATTTGTTTTTCGTTTTTTGTTTGTTGTTGTCGGCTCTTTAATATGCTTCCCCGGCGGCGGCTCCTCCTCCTCCTTGCAGCCCGTTGCCCGTTGCCCGTTGCCCGTTTTCCGTTTCTCCTGCTACGGCTCGCCAGCCAGCTGCTTGCCCTGGAAGTAGGCCTCGTCGATGCGGCGACTGTGGGCTATGAGGCGCGGATAGCTGCGCACGGTCTCCGCCAGCATAGAGCTGACCAGCTGGCTGGCCAGAATGGCGGCCACATGGCCAAAGACGAGGGCATCCAGCTCGCAGAGCTGCGGCCCATACAGATAGCTGGCAATTAGCTGGGAGTCGATCTTCGTCTCCGTCTCCGTCTCCGCCTGCTCCAGCTTGTCGCTCAACAGCTGGCAGCACTGCTGCAGCTGTGCCCGGACAGCGGCAGCGTCCAGCTGGTGCCACTGATAGACGCGCAGCAGGCGGAGCGCCTCGTCGCGCTTCTCGTGCCGCCGCATGCTGCTCAGGGGCCAGGGATGTGCCGCACCGTTGCGCGGCAGCGTATGGCTGGCATAGATCTCTGGCTGCAGATAGCACTGATGCAGCTCGGCCAGGGTGAATGTGTTCTCCGCATGTGTGACCATGCTGCGCATATCTTCGCGCTCCTCGGCCGGCAGCCAGGCGCTCAGCGCATGCGACAGCTGGGTGACCTCCACGTGGCCGACAATCGGCTCGAATTCGGTGAACAGATGCCGTCCCAGTCGCAGCAGCGGCAGCTTGGTCAGCCGTCCGCCCGGCGACATGAACTCCGCATTGTCGCACTGGCGCTCCCCAAACGGCAGCCGGCACATACGCAGATATGTCTTTACGGCCAGGCAACTGGCGCGTTCCGGCAGCAGCAGCTGCGTCTCCTCCGGCGGCTGATACAGGTGCACATCCTGCGGCCAGGGCAGGCACTCGCCCAGCGCATCCTCCGGCTTGATCTCGTCGCCCGTTTCGCCCAACGCGTTTGCCACATCCATAACCGTTTCCATGCTGCTTCCCGGGCTTCTGATTATCCACGAAATTTGGTATTACAAAAAAGAAAATATATATATATGTCAATAAGAAAACTGTCGACCTCTTCAAAAAGTCAAGTCAACTATTTCGATTACTCAGCCGACTTCGATAACATTTTCCAGCGAGAAAATCTTCCAATCAAGTGTGCAACCTACTGCAAGCTTTGTATTCCTGATTTTATATGCCTGATAATGACAACGAGGTGAGTTGGCATTATTATTCTATCTATCTAAGCTATCTAAGCTACGCCAGTTTCCATTTGGGCCATTATCAACGCTGCAATTAAGAATTTCCTTTGCTTTGAGTGCTGCCAACTTTGTTTTAAATTATCGATAAGATGTCGATTGACAGACATGGACAGGCAACGAAATCGGCACGACTAGAGTATACCCTGAAACCAGCTTGAATAGGGGGAATGTTATATAGCTTGTGTAGTCTTCGACTTATGCGTACAAATCCATGTCTCAAAATCGAGATTTATCGATATTGTAGAGTCCAACGGCTTATCGATAGGAGAAGACTTAATCCACATTTTAAGTGTCAAGTTCTTGTAGTTCAAAGTCGTGCCGTCTCCATTTTATAGGGTATTCCTCTGCCTGGAACTATTATACCCTTTCAAGGGACTCGGCGTGCAGCACGGCCAATATTAAATATTCCAAGTGCTGTCCTTTAGCTAGGCTTCAATTAGCCACCTAGTCGGACCTGGGACTGACAATTAGAGGCCAACTTTTTGGCAGGCCCGAGGCGTTGCCGGCGCGGACTGTCAACGCCCGCGTGTGGGTTGCCTTGGTTTGCGTTGGGTTGCCTTAGGTTGTCGTCGCTTTTCAGTCAAGAGGTGCCAACGAAATTCACTTTGCCGGAGCGTTGCGATTCTTGAGGTGCCACCACGCAAATGTTGAGAGGGGCTACCCAAACTATATGCCCTGCACCAATTTGGCAATTAATCATTAAACGCGCCACCTGCCGGCGCTGGCGGGCAACTTTTGCCTAAAAGGTTTACCAAACGCGTCCCCTTCTGGCTGTTGGCCCTCGGCGTCTTGGCATGCCCACAAAAAGAGAGAGAGCAAAAAGGAACCAACCTACTCGTGCTCTGAACTTGAAGATGATAAATTACACAAGCGGAACATTATGTAATTTCAGTCAGACGAAGCCCCGCAGCCGCCCACAGAGAGAGAATGCTGTCGAAAACCCGCGTGTGTGTATGAAATGCAAGTTTTCCACTTACTGTTTGGCGGTCCTGACAGCAAACGCTTTCAAGGATCATCTGTTTGCCAAGTGGAGCAACGGAGACTGCCTTAAGTGAGCTTTAAGCTCAAGTATTTAAACATATTTGAACTGTTTCCAGCGCCCAATGCGAACTTGTGAAGAACTCCTGCTTCCTACCAGGAAACTGTGCCAAGAATATTCCAATTGATGTTGAGTTAGGTTTCAAAGATTCCATAACATTCCAATTGATGTTGGGTTCAGCTTAAGAGATTCCATAATATTCCAATTTATGTTGGGTAAGGCTAAAGAGATTCCATAATATTCCTATTGATGTTGGGTAAGGTTTTCAAGATTCCATAATCCAATTGATGTTAAGTAAGGCTTAAGAGATTCCATAATATTCCAATTGATGTTGGGTTCAGCTTAAGAGATTCTATAATATTCCAATTGATGTTGGGTAAGGTTTTCAAGATTCCATTATATTCCAATTGATGTTGGGTATGGTTTTAAAGGTTTCATTATATTCCAATTGATGCTGGGTAAGGTTTTCAAGATTCCATTATATTCCAATTGATGTTGGGTATGGTTTTAAAGGTTTCATTATATTCCAATTGATGCTGGGTAGGGTTTTCAAGATTCCATTATATTCCAATTGATGTTGGGTAAGGTTTTCAAGATTCCATTATATTCCAATTGATGTTGGGTAAGGTTTTAAAGGTTTCATTATATTCCAATTGATGCTGGGTAGGGTTTTCAAGATTCCATAATATTCCAATTGATGTTGGGTAATGCTAAAGAGATTCCATAATATTCCAATTGATGTTGGGTAAGGCTAAAAAGATTCCATATTATTCCAATTGATGTTGGGTAAGGCTTAAGAGATTCCATAATATTCCAATTGATGTTGGGTAAGGTTCTCAAGATTCCAATTGATATTGGGCAAAGGCTTTCAGGTTACGATTGAAGATTCCATTTCCGAAATCAAAAGTCTCCTTTATATTCTATATTCTTTAGTTAGTATTCCTTGGGAACGTTTTGTCTTCCGTTGGGAGCTCCAGGATAAAAGCATTCCAATAGCTACGTCTCCCGGCCCATGGCCTTGTTTCTCTGCTGAGCACATAACCTCTACAGTTGGGAGGTTTTTAAGGCAACTTTTCATTATTACGGGGCCAGCTTCTGGGAACTTATCACAGCTGCTTAGGGCAGGCCATATATCATCTCCAGTTGGCTTATTATTTCGCTTTGTAGCTAATTTAATGTTCAATTAGGACTTGTGTATTCGCATTTTTTGATGAAGTCTGGGGGGGGGCGGACTCCCGGGCTCCCTTTGTCTTAGCGCTTGTTTCTCTCGCTGTGTCACTTTGATTGATTCGCTGGGTTGACCGAGCGAGTGGAACGGGAGCCTAATTTCTAGGCTGATATCAGTCTTAGCTTTGCATAGACTTCTCGTCGGGCTGTTGAGCATTGTCAAAGTTCATTGTGTTGGGGCAGATTAATTAAGCAGCCGCTGGAGCCACTTGGCAGCACTTGCAACACAGTCGGGCATGTGTGAAAGGAGAATGCGAATGTGAATGTGAATGTAATTGTGAATGGGAATGGAAATGGAAATGGGAATGCGAATGTGCGTGGCAATGCGAACGTTCGCTGAGCAGGTGGCGTCTCGGGAGGATGCTCCTACGGCGGGTTAGGGTGGCCCAGGGTAGCCCAGAGTGGTCCGGGGTGGGCCGAGGTTGTTTCGGGTTGTTTCGGGGTGCCCCGGTTGAGACGTCGTTTGCACAAAGCCAACAAAAGGCAACAATTCTTAGCCACTAATAAAGAATAATATGAGTGCCATAAAACTCAATTTATTACCAAAATGTCGACAGGCAGCGCAGTCGGAATGCGTGTGCGCGTGTGTGTGTGTTAAAGAATTACGACTCTGGCAGTCGGGCACCGGGGCAAGCTGTCGGGGACTGCGGCACGTGGTGGCAAATATGTATAACCAGAATTTCATGCTGCCATTTCGTTTGGCCAATTCCTATTTCAACTTTTAGCTACCATTTGAACTCAAAGTCCCCTTTTCTTTTTATTTGCATCCCGTTCGCATCGGGCGACCTTTTCCCTGTGCACCCTACACTTAAGTTTCATGCACTTCAGCTTCCGCAAGCTGCAAACTCTGTCCAAAGCAAGCAGCTTGTGTCCGCGAAAGTTCTTTATTGTCATCCGCGAACAGCTTCTCTGCTTCTTTCTCTCTCTGCTTCTCTCTCTCTCTCTGTATCTTTCGCTCGCTCTCCCTTTCTCGCTCTCATATTTACGATCTTTCTATATTATTCATTTATTTCATTTATTTACTTGATGTTTTTACTTTATTTATTCACATTAGCTTTTGTCTGTCAAGCATTTAAAAGGCAAACTCAGCTAAATTTGCTGTTTCATGGCATTCAGCTTTTGTTTGGCTCAGAGGCCCCCTTCCTGTTGCAAATATCGATCAGCTTTTGTCTGCAGCTATGTTCGAGCTTAGTTCTGACCGTCCGCCCGTCCGTCCGTATGTATGAACGCAAGGATCTCAGAGCCTATAAGAGCTAGAGACTTGAAATTTTAGCTGTAGGTTCTCCTAGTGCTCGCGCAGATCGAGTTTGTTTCCGATATTCGATAACTTGCTCCGTTTCCAAGTAATCGATAACAAGTTTTTTGAGCGATTTCGGCAAATAATATGAGCTAGAGTCACGAAACTTGACATTTAGCTTCTAGAATAGTATATATATGTCGAGTATCTTTCATTTTATGCCTATCGCCTGTCGGAAGAAGAGGGTTCAGTGTCGACCAGAACCTCTTACTTGTTTATATTAAGCTCTTAAGTTTTGCGTTCCAGAGCTATCATCTGTTTGAGGTTAACACATCAGATTGCTCTGGGATATAAAAAAGATTTGAATATATCCGTAAGCTTTTCTTTGGTCGACTCATATCTCACAGCAATCAGCTCCAAAGAACTCCTCCTCAGCCTGTTTAAAAGCAAGCTATTTTTAATTCTTTTAGAGTTCTCTCACAATTGCTTAGGTCTCAAATCAAACTCTCTTTAACTCTCGCTCGCAATTCTGCGAAGATGTTTTTGGCTTCGTATAGCAAGCAGCTTTTGTCGTTTGCTCATCAGTTCCTTTCCTGCATGCATTTAGCTTCCTGAAATTGAATTTTGATCTCTGATAGCAGCCAGCTTTTGCCCGACTGCCGGCTATATCAATTCAATTCGATGGGAATAGGGTATTTGCCCAGTTGTTATTGCCCAATTTCCCTTGACCCGGTCCATTGGATTTTATTTCTTTGTCGACTTTTCGTCTTTGTTTTGCAATTGTATTTGCCATTTGGCTACTTGTTGTCTCTACCGTTCATGCGATTTGTTGCTTTTGTTGCCAGTTTCTGGATTTGTTGGCCGCCTTGCGGCCACATTTTGGCCGGGCTCTGGCTCTGGCCAAATTCCCCTAAATAACTGTTTGAGAGCTAATACCCAATTTTAAATAGTCCCTTGCAGCGTTGCATCCAGCATGGGCACCCAGACACAGGCTGATTGCTCTGCACACAGCTCTAATCAGATTCACATGTGGCACAGCATTAAAGGGACTCAATAAACAGTTGAAGACTTCACGATTGTAATCTCAAAAACGGCTTGAGATTAGTTTCGACAGCAAAATGGTTTAGCAAAGCAAACGCTGCCAGTTACGCGATTAAGGATATCGCATAAAGAGGAATTTAAAAAAACAAATACGTTCAACTGGGAGATATAGAAAGAATATGAGGAGAGAAGGAAGGGAAAAGAGATGGAAAATAAGAGAGTTACGATAAGATAAGAAACAGAGAAACTGAATGGATGGAGGCAGAGAGAGCGAGAGAGAGAGAGAGAGAGAGAG